TGACGGACGAAGACCTCATATTTTGGGCTCAACTAAAGGTTACTAAGCGTATCTATTGCCATTTCATAGGTTTCACATTCCACGATATGTTCGTAGACAGGAGATATGTATGAAATCAGCATATCCAGTTTTTCGTGTTTTAAATTATCCACTGACTTGAGGAGGTTGAGAAAAGTCCTGTACAAATGGTTCCACTGCCTGGTAGCATCTGGTGAGCTAGGTTCAACATCGAACCGTTTGAGGTGTAATATTCAATCCATTGCTGTATGTCGAATAAATTGTAGTGCTATAGCAGCATGCACGAGAAAGACCCAAACTTTAGGCTTTATTCGACAAGGGTGGTGGTGGCGCAGTGTTTTAGTCGCTGTCACCGGCGTGCTTGGGACCCTGTTGTCCGAGGTTCGAGCCGCGCCACCGCCGCCCGACTTTGGTGGTAGTTAGCACTGCTGTCGTCCGGTTCAATACCACGCCTAACCTATCAGGGCGTTATGTGGTTAGCCACTCCAACTCCCGATTTACACCACTGACCAGCAGGTCCTCGTGACTATGGGGTTCGCCCCGTCTGCTGTTCATTACACTTAGGTATGTCGTAAAAAATTAAGCGTACGTATGAAAGCTGAAAAAGGGAGAGGAGTCAGAAAAGTGAGATACAAAGTATTATGTGAAAATCAAACTGTTTGGCTTTCCTCAAAGAGAACACTATACCGCGCAATCCATCTTAGACAACTTATTATGGTCGTTGACGTCGCCCTAATCATCACTGTTCTTATCCGACTTTCATATAAATAAAGTACAGCGGAAGATTTGATTTGATTTAATAAAAAGCGAAGAAAACGTAGAGTAAGAAGTATTATTTTAATTTCCACTAACCTTGACATAATTATAACATGCTGTTCAAGTAATTGCCCTACAAAATAACTCGAAACAAGACCTGTACCGTTTTGTGGTCACATTTTGTCAACTAGCGTGATTGATATATATTCTTGGGCAAATATAAAGCGGTGCTATAGGAACCTTATATCACCATCGGGTTCTTCGACGAAAAGTAGTTTTATCCATCGTCTTACTTGGAGACTCGTTACATGTGCATAACCAAGCCGGTACTTAAATTTATATTTTCTCACCATACATCAACCTAATACTTCATTGTCTCCAGCACTTCATCTAAAATATCACATCTCTCCACTTCCCCAGTTTGTAATCATCATCATCATTGTACGTGATACGGTGAAGCGAACTTCACTGATCGCTGCCAAACTCATATTGCATACAAGGTAATTGAGAATGTGTAAGGAGGATAGGGATTGGACTTACTTTTATGGACGGAAAAATGCGAACCTCCATGGTCAACACAGCGTACACAGTCCAACTGGTCTGATAGGAAATGGCAGCAAGATCGCCATTGCTGTCGGTTCGTAACCATGACCAGTTTGTAAGGAATATATGGGAATATTCAGAGTGTAATTGAAAACTGGTAATGCTCCTGTTGTTTTACTTTGTCCGTTCGAACGTTCACTGTGATCAACTGCTTAGTTATGGGTTGATCTCTTGTTCCATTTCTGGTGAGTGTGTGAAAGTTTCCGTCCCCTTTTATCCATTGATATCCCGCTATTAGACAACAACATTATCGGAAGCATAGTTTTACTGTAACGATGTTGAATAAAGAAGCCATTTCGCTGCATCTGTACACGTGCATACTGTAGTCTATGTGAATAATTTGAATGGCTTAATACTCTAGCGCTACCTTCGTAATAAATGTGTTTGGTGAGTAATTTTGATCGCAATCTTTCACCGCCTATGATTCTGTTATTTACTGACCATATATTAATGATCGCATAGACTGCAGTATGCACGCGTACAGATGCAGCGAAATGATCCAGGATACATTGTGCAAACCTGTGTTTTGGCCTCTATTCAAACAAAATTATCATTGATTTTCACTCTCTAACATTCAAACTTTATCGTTGAATGCAGTTCTCAGCTCATCCAGGTAAATATATCCTCGGGTAGCACTAGAGTATAGTTTCATCCTCGATACCACTCATCAGTATTGGATACCCTACAGTATATCCAAATTTTGAACCCTTTATTGTTTTCTTCGAAGGTTTGTGTTATCGCTGCGTTTAGCTGATCAATCGAAATCAATATCACTCAAAAGAGTAATCGTGAGTTACTATGCAAATTTATAAATCTGGTGACGTCTGC